CCCCCCCCCCCCCCCCGCGGCATTTTGGAGAGACCAACGGAGCATCAATGGAAGTGTCCGGAGAGCAAGGATGTTGCTTCCTGAAAAAAATTAAAAAACGATGCAAGCAAGCGAGACGTTCACACGCCACCAAAGATTCTTAATTAGTAAGGAACCTTTCTGCCGTGCAGACCCGGCATTGAGAAGAATAGGACTGACGTGGTGCTAGCGTGTCGTACGAGGCGACTAAATGGCGAACCAGGTAGTGACTCCTGAAACAGAGTCATCCTGCCTCCAGGTCGGGGGTTGAGTCACCAGGCTAACAACCTCTCTCGTAAAAAGAGCCTGTTACGGAAACACATGCAAGCAAAAACCATTATCTCTACTTGGCTGATCGTGGATTTTCTCCGAATGGTGAGTTTATGACGAAAGGCACTGAAAGCCGAAAGGGCACGAGGCAGGGGTAGGCCACGGGAAACATGGAGGAGATGCGGGGAAAGAGACATGAAAGAGATGAAGCTCACTTGGAAGGATGGCCCAGGACAGAGATAAATGGAAGGAGCTTGTATGTGACCTATACCCTGCCAGGGGTGAAAGGCATGATAATGAAAGAATCGTTGCACACGCTGCGTACTTCCAAGAATGGAATTGAAGCTGGTTTTAAATTTATGATTCTCAAAATGAGTTATTGGTTTCATTGACCATAGCAAAAGCCACGAGTCCTCTTTATCTGTATTTTATTTCTTTTATCTTCTATTTCGGCAAGGGAATATCGTCTTCTGTAGATGCATTGGTCATTGTCAGACATTGACGAACGAACTATAATTATTATTAACTTATTATTATTATTGTTATTATTATCATCATTGCTTAAAGATCGTGATGCGTAGTACGAGGTTAAGAGTGTAGGTTTAGATTGTTTCCTGATAATGTTACTTACCTTGTATTTTCGGGTTGGGGGGTGGGGGGCACATTAGTTCTGCACTGTACTTGAGAGAGTTAGTATTGTTCCCACCGCCCCACGTTGCGTCGGTAGCCTAGTGGTTAGACTACCGGACACGTAATCCTGAGGTTGCGGGTTGTGGGTTTCGAGCCTCAGTTCGGTCCGACGTTTTGTCCTTGGGAAAGACACTTTACACGAACTTCCCACTTGGCTCGGTCCTCTCGGAGAAGGACGTTAAACTCGGAGGTCCCGCCTCTTAAGTAACCTAATAGTGTTGATAGAGGCGTTAACCCCATACCATATCACCATTTTCAACACTGCACCCCACACTTAC